ACTTCGTAGAATCCCAGACTGGTTTGTGTTGAAGGGACCTTAAAGCTCATCCAGTTCCAACCCCCTGCCATGAGCAGGGAAACCTTCCACTAGACCAGGTTGCTCCAAGCCCTGTCCAGCCTGGCCTTGAACACTGCCAGGGATGGGGCAGCCACAGCTTCTCTGGGTACCCTGTGCCAGCACCTCACCACCCTCACAGGGAAGAACTTCTTCCTAAGATCTAACCTAAGTCTCCTCTCTGTGAGCTTAAAGCCATTCCCCCTATTGTCTTGTCACTGCATGCCCTTGTAAAAAGTCCCTCTATTTCCCAAGAGTGAAGATCAAAGTAAGTAAACCAAGGGCTTTGTTTTGATTTTGGGGTGTTTTTCACTTCAGGATGAAGTGCCACCCACATCTGTACTGGCTGACACTGTGCTTTTTGGTGCTTGTGAGCAGCTGTGGGGAGGAGAAGACTAAAAGCTCTGTGAGAAGGGAGTGAAGGCACTGCCAGGCACACAGCACTTCTGATGCTTGTTACTAACCAGCTATCAATTTATGTTCTTGGTTTTGCCATCAGGAGGATACAGGATTAGATTCTCCATTTCTGTCACTTTTCCTCATTCTATGACTTTATGTGGGTTTGGACATTCTCTTTATTACAAATAACATAACTGTCAGTATTCGTGCATTTTCCTGGATGCATATGTAGATGTAGAGGGGAAAAAAAAGCACTGAGAAAACAAAATAACATCAGTGAAATGACCCCTAAGTTAGGCATGTCAGTATCCCATGGCCGATCCATCACTTGGTGATGCCCCTTTCAGGAAGGTGGTTTCATGAGCAAAGCTCAGAGCCAAGGGAGGATGCCAGACCCTTACAAGATCCTGGCCTGGGAAATGAAGGGAATCTGGGGATACCAGTAACCCCCCTAAAAGAACCCTGGAGAGCTGAGTATCTCCAGGAGACAATGACAGAGACTGCAAAAGGCCAGCATGTTTTTCAGCTCTGAGAAGATGGTGGCCGGGACTGATGACCCCACAGCCTGCAAAAACTGCTAAGGGCTACACTGAGGAAAAGCATGTAAGTCTATCCTTTGATCTGTGTATTTGCAGTGTCTGGATAATGAGGGTTCTATTGTGAAGAAATTGTCCAGGGGACACACTGGACAGTTTATCACTCCTTCCCAGAACGATAAAGTGTGCAATACACTAGAGGTGTTGCACTGAAATGTAGAAAGAAAGGCACTGCTGGGATATTCAGTCTGAATGTCCAACTAGCATGTTTTGGTGCAAATAGCAGTCAAGAGCCAAGAGCACCACAGCCACAGGAAAACACCTAAAGAAATACAAAGAGATCCAAGTACTGTTTGAGCTGCAACCTAAATCTGTTGTGTAAATAGTATGGGATTACGCTGGGAGCACCAGAATTTTGCAGTTTGTTAGAGAAGACCATTCTGGATTTGACTGAATAGTGCAGAGGCTCAGCACTGCTTGAACTACTTGTTTATAGTGATTCTTACACCATGAATGAAGCAATCCAAAAGGACTTGGGTATTCAAGAAAAAAAAAGTCCTGAACTGAAGTTTAGTCTTAGCCTCAAAGTTCAGTGCTTTCACTTCCAACTCCAGGCCAAGTTTGAAAGTGGCTGATTTTTACAAGGAATTAATTGACATGACTGTTAAAAAATTCCTCATAACTGAGGATTTGGTAATAAAAATGTTTTGACTTCTATAAATATATTGGGTAAAATGGAATGGGCAGGAAAAGCAATAAATAGATGGAGCATTTTTGCCAGTTTTTTATAGGGTCAGCTGTGCTGAGGTGTTCTTACAGTTAATTTAGTAAACTGTTTTTTCTGTGTTTCTGTGTGTATACACACACACGTATATAAATACAGAGCATAAACTGTAAATGATTTATACAGACCAGAATTAGCAGCCTAATTTTTCCTTTCCCAGATAATATAATTTCATAGATATAATAATACAATGATTCACAGTGCTTTGTAATCTGTAAAATAATGTATCACTTTTAGGTGTTAATTAACAGTGATTTCTGTCATTGTCAGAAGGGAAGGGATATTGCAACAGCAGGATCTGTGAGACTCTGGGATGCGTTGTTCTTTGCTCTTTGCAGCTTGCCAGGGCACTGTCATTTATCTCGACTCAGAACAAGTTTGGTTGTTTTGTGTAGTGATGTTTTTGGAAAGGTTAGTGGATTATTAATAGTCACTTTAGATATACATGCCAAAGAGAAAAGCAGGCAGAGGAAGCAGTAATAAAAGAGAGGTTTGAATTCCTTCATGAATTTTGTTATGAGTTGTAAAAGGGCACAGCAGTCAAATCAAATTGATGTTTGACAATCATAGGAGATGTGAATTTTCCTGTGGGAAGTAATGAGGGCTGATTGTCAGACCATAAGCTACTAATGCACAAAGCAAAAACATTGCTCTCTTTTGACTCAGGTTCTTTTCTGTAGCCTCTGTGAGTGTTGTTAAACCCACCTATCTATGTAGTGATAGCATGCAATATCTATGCTGGTACAGTTCATAATTTATTATCACTATGTCCTGGATTAAAAGACTTAAAGATTCATTAGGATTGACTTTCTTCTCTGGGGATGCTCTTAGGTATTTTGAAGATTGAGCACTGTAATTTGAGAGAAGATACACTGTCTTTTTCAGATGTAGAGGTTCAATTCATGCTTCAAGCACAAAACTAAACTTAGAATTAACTAGGAACAGAATCATCTCTCTTACAAATTTGTGAAATGCTTTTGCTAAAGTGCCTCAGTACTTATCCTTCCTACTTCAATTTTTCCTTCGCATTCTATGAGAAGCTATTTATCCATCACAGTCTTGTGTTCCACTTTCAACTCACACATCCAAATTATCTGTGGGCTGCAGCTTTCCTAGTGCTCTGGTACTCTATCCTGCAGAAGGGTCCTGCACAGCAGGTCATTGATCTTTTAGTCTAGCTTGAAGGTAGCTGGGGATTGGAACTAGAGTATCTTAAGGTCCTTTCCACCCCCAACCATTCTATGATTATATGAAATGCCAGTACAGCTTCTAGCCTTTTTTTTTTTCTTTCTGATCTTTACTCAAATGATGCATGGATTGAAATACTGGAAATGTATTCTCTAATCACTGGATAAGGATTAGATACCAGTAGCATGGGAATTCTTCCCCTCACCTGAAGCCATGTCCTAAGCTGGGAAACACCAAGGCAGCCAATTCTGTACTTCCTGGTTCTCAGTATTGTCTGCTGTATTTTCTAGAAACAGTGAAGTATGTGTCAGTAAAAATAATAACAGAGTTACTCAGCTAGCTATATCCCTAAGAGGGTAAGAAGGCACGTATGCACATGCCGTGCTTCAGTAAGAACAACACTAAACATCTGAAAATTAATATATCATGCAATATAAGAAACATTCTTGGCAGGGACAGTTACAGTTTCTTGTACACCTCTGACCATGTTGACAGTAGCAACCACTAAATGACACTGTCCTTCATCTGAGGCTAGATCTCACCAGTGAAATATGGATTCTAAGTCTAAGAACACGCAACAGAGGGAGACAGTGGATCTGCTTCCTTAAAGTAAATGAAGCGTTTGAATGGTAGTAAGGATGTGGCATAGCAGGAAACAGAACCCAGGGATGCTCTGTTTCAGGCACGTGATGCTATTGTTTTCTTTTGTGCTACTGCCCAGCAGCAAAAGGCCAGAGGAGACTGTAAGAAGCAGCCTAGGTGATCAAGAGGGGCAGGCAGGAGCAGAGGGCACCACAAGAGAGGAGGCTGGGAGTATGTGATGTGGGAAGGGTTTGCAGTTACAGCACCATCCAGGTCTCTGGGGGAAAACAGAAAATGAAGAGAAAGCCAGGAGAAGAATTGCGTTGGAAAGATACTGCTAGTTACAACAAAAATTAAAAAAAGAAACTTAAATAGGAAAAGGGGCATACTGTATTTCTGCCAGTATCCAGGCATTAAGTGACAGTTACATTTCTATCATATGAAACACCACAGACTTTGTTAATACTGTATCATATACAACTCTTTTTCCTCACTTGCTGCATGCGCTGCATGCATAAAGCTAGGCAGGCTTTCCATTTCCAGTGTAACAGAACTTCAGACACAGTGCTATGGGTGATTTTACATCCAGTGTCGGTGATTGTCATTGCTTTGCCATAAATAAAAGTATTATGGGGAAGCGAACCAGAAAGTTTTGATAAATGACATCTTATCTTTCTGAAGTGCTTGTAGATCAGAAAGTGGTTTCAAACTGCATGCCCAAATCAGTTCACCTGGTACTGAAATGCAGCCAGCTATGACAGGAAATATGACTGATGGTGACTGCAGTGCTGGCCTGGTGCAGAACCCAAGGACAGCCACCCAGGGCCTGGCTGTGCTGCTCAGCCTCAGTTTTTAAGCATGCCATTCAGTCTTTGCTGTTTAGATAGTCTGTCTTTCAACACTCAAAAACATCTTCTTAGGCTGGGAGTCTATAAAGTAAAAATATGGAAGGCATAGGAGGACACAAAGGATATGGAGTAAGGTTGGACTCTGGAGTACACACATGGTCTTACTACTGGCTGGACCTGCAGATGGGAGCAGCTTTGGTAGCACCTATTGGACTGGGATGGGAGGAGCTTCCTGGATCTGAGTGTGCGCCAAATGCAGCTCTCATGGGTGGGGAGGAGGAATTCCCTGGGACACGAACCCTCCAGCTCCACTCTCTGTGAGAAGTGATACTAGTTACAGCAAGCAGAAGAAAGTTTTACCCAAACCACAGGTCCTGCTTTGTAGAGCAGCCAGCTTCCCACATAATTTATGAAATCTGAGGACATCTGAAACTATGGTGCTGTGAGTGGAAATCTGCTATATTAGCAAATCCTTAGTAGATAAGACTAAAGCTCTCCACAAATGAGGCACTAAATGGTGATGTATTTTTAAACTTGCAAAGACTTCTGAATACTGTAAGCAGTAATTTTTGCATTCTAACTGTTTTGACTCCTTGCTTTCCCTAGGGGAAATGGAAGAGTTAGAAACCCTGTGGCTGACCGGTATCTGCCACAACGAGAAGAATGAAGTCATGAGCAGCCAGCTGGACATCGACAACATGGCAGGAGTGTTTTACATGCTTGCAGCAGCCATGGCACTCAGTTTAATAACCTTTGTCTGGGAGCACTTATTTTACTGGAAACTTAGATTCTGCTTCACTGGAGTCTGCTCAGATAGGCCGGGATTGTTGTTCTCAATCAGCAGGGTTAGTATTGCTTTAGTTTTCCTCCTTCAGGCAACAGACAGAATAAAAGTACCTCCCTAAAACATTGTCTTTTATTTTATTCCCATTTGGACATTTGAAATACACATTAGAGCATCAACGTGATGCTCTGGAGTTGTCAACAGGCTTAGGATATACTTGCACTCCATGGGAAGCCTTTTCTCCATTGGTTTATTCTAGGGTATGAATTATCATATGCCAGGATAATCAGTAATCATATGCTGAAAACAAATAAATACAGGGGAAGTTCTAATGAAGAAATGGTAGAGCTGCTCAGATGCAGAAAATGGATTAATTCCCCCCCCCCCAAATTCAACTGCTAAATTGGTGACAGGCATCTGCTCTCATTTTTGTGCATTTTAAGTGATAAAAATATACTGGGATACTTTTATATGCTTTTCTTGATAGCAAATTTGAATAAACCATATGAGGTCAAACACAAGTGTCATTTATGTTTGGTTAGGCACAAAGAAAGCGTCTAGCCAATAATAAATGATAACTTTACCAAACCTGAAGTGCATTTATATATCCAAATAACTGATACCTGTTGTAAAATAAGGGAAATGTGTGCTTGTTCTAATTGCTTTAAAATGTGCTGAAATTATCCTGTTAAGTAAATTGGACTGTATTGGAGCTGCATTAAAAATACTCTGCTCTATTCTCTTGGGCATTGTCTAGAAAAGCATATGCGCTTTAACCTCCACATTTTACATTTGAACTTTATACTTTTGGCCTTTTACATATTAAATTCTCCTAATCAATGTCGCGGTGTGGAGGGGTGGGGGAAGTACTTGTTTCAAGGGCAAATGTCTGAGAGTTGCAAGTACTCAGGGTTGGAAATGTCAATTGAGCTCACAGGAGTGACCCAAGAGGTTGGAATTAAAAGATGGCTTCAGCCTTTTGCTCAAAATGAACTCAAATTCAGAGCTGGGTTGGGTTTTTTTTCAGATGTACTGGGATAGGAAACAGAAAAGCTAAAATACAATAGCTAGAAACCTTTTTATTTCAGTGACAGTGAAGAGTATCTTAACTTCAAAGGAAATAGCCTCACTGCAGGCTTTTCTAGAGGGGTAGCTTAATCACTGGTTTAAAATAGTAGTGTTTCCATTACAATAGTTACATTTTGTGACGAGACCAGGGAACCTTTTGGGGTCCCTTCTAATCCTGTTTTCTGGAATAAGTAAGGGAGGCCAACATTGGCCACTGGTATTGAAATACTGGTAGTTTTTCTCCTTTAAAGTTCCAACAGATATGGCAGGAATTATTCTCTCATACCAGTGTAAGTAAATGCTGAAAGGATAGACATGTACTTTAATCTTTCCAGTCATTAGATAAGCAATGTTTAATTTATTCTTATTGCTAATTAAAAATAGAACGGAAGTATTTAAAATGTACACCTAGTGATTCTATTTGTTTCAAATTACTCATATTACAGGGTATTTACAGCTGCATTCATGGAGTACACATTGAAGAAAAGAAGAAGTCTCCTGACTTTTCTTTGACTAATTCCCAAACCAACATGTTAAAACTACTGCGAACAGCGAAAAATATGACCAATATGAACCCTTCAAGAATTAACTCCCCCAAAAGAACAGCTGATTTTATTCAGAGGGGTTCCTTGATTATGGACATGGTCATGGATAAGGGAAACTTGATATTTTCTGATAACAGATCCTTTCAGACAAAGGACAACTTTTTTGGTGACAACATAAGTGAACTGCAGACACTTCCTGGCAATCGACACAAGGACAATCTTAACAACTATGTTTTCCAAGGTCAGCATCCTCTCACACTGAACGAATCCAATCCAAACACAGTAGAGGTTGCAGTAACAACAGAAGCGAAAGCAAACTCCAGACCTAGGCAGCTTTGGAGGAAATCTGTTGAATCTTTACGCCAAGAATCTGTACGTCAGAGCCAAGGTTCCCAGAGAGAAGACGGGTCAGATGAAAACAGGCAGCTTTCAGTGAAAAGCCAAAGATACCTTCCAGAAGAGATCATCCATTCAGATGTATCAGAGACATCAAGCCGAGCCACTTGCCATATGGAACCTGAAAACAACAACAAGCACCACAAAACCAAGGACAATTTTAAAAAGAGGACAGTAGCATCAAAATACCCAAAAGACTGCAGTGAAGTGGAACTGACATATCTGAAAACCAAACAGAGCTCTCCACGGGATAAAATCTACACGATTGATGCTGACAAGGAGCCAGGATTCCACTTGGACACACCTCAGTATATCGAAAACATTGTCCTTCCAGAAACTATAGAGCTTCCTGATGTTTATCAAGATCACAGTGACAACTACAGGAAAGCCGAACTTGCTAACAGGACTCCCTCGCATAATGAAGACAGTCTTCCAAATAATGACCAGTATAAACTTTATGCAAAGCACTACACTTTAAAAGATAAAAATGCTTCCCTAGTTGACATGAATGATAGATATAGACAGAATTCCACCCACTGCAGGAGCTGTCTTTCCAATTTGCCCACTTATGCAGGACACTATTCGAGCAGATCTCCTTATAAATGTGACGCGTGCTTGCGGATGGGGAACCTCTATGATATTGAAGAAGATCAGATGCTGCAGGATACAACAAACTTATCACTTCCTGAAGAAATATATCAGCATAGTTGGTCACAAAACAATGCCCTGCAATATCATAAAAAAAACAAGTTGAGGATTAGCAGGCAACATTCTTTTGATAATATCGCTGATAAGTCCAGGGAAATTGATTTTGGAAGACGTTCTCGTAGTATAAGCTTGAAAGAAAGAGAGAAATTTCTACAAAGTAGTCCATATGCAAGCATGTTTAGTGTTCCCTCAAGCAAACTGTTGAGCAACAAGGCCTCACTTTTAACTCACGCTCTGGAGGACAGCAAGCGGAGCAAGTCCCTGTATCCTGTTCACTCAGATGATAATCCCTTTCTGCACTCGTATCGTGATGACCAGCACTTATCTCTTAGGCGAAGTCCAGCTGATCTTTATAAACATTCATTACCAACAAGAGGAAGAAATGATAATTATTTAAGGTCATCCATAAAATCTACAGCATCTTACTGTTCCAGGGATGGTCGGATCCATAATGACATGTACATTTCAGAGCATGTTTTGCCTTATGTTGCAAATAGGAATAGCTTGTACTCCACTCCAAGGGTTTTAAATTCCTGTAGCAATAGACATGTGTATAAGAAAAGGCCTAGCCTTGAATCAGATGTTTAAATTTTCCATGAACACTTAATTTATAGGGGAAAAATAGTTGCCACCATCATAGAGGGAGAATTTATCCTTTAACAGTATCCTGACATGGTAAATGATACATAAACCTCTCCCTTTCCCAATGTACTTCTGTACATGAATAAGTAAACTAGTATGCTCTTACCTGTCCTTTTAAAATATGTCTTGTTGAAAAGGATTAAAAAAATAGCCATTTATGTATGCTTTATATATAAATGGCAAGCTTCACTGAAATGGCCCCAATATATGTTGGCAACTATGCTGTTTTGTATCTAATTATTTTGCTATTTTGGTTATTATTCTACTTTATGTTGCTAAGTATCATTCAATGTACTTTTGTCCTTAGCAATGTTTAATGATTTTCTAGTACTGAATGAGCAATATGGTATGCATGTAGTATGACACAGACAAAAAGAATTAGGAATGCATTTGCACAGAGTCAAAAATAAGACTCTAAAAGAGAACAGAAAGGTAGACTTTAAAAAATATATTTGAGCTTCATAATCATTTTCAAAGCCAAATATAAATAATATATATTTAAAAAAAAAACACCAAACTCCAAACCCCAGGACCTTAATAAATGAAGTGCAGGGTTTTAGCACAAGATTAGCATATTTATTCTAGACTGACAGAAAATAAATGGGAAGGTGGCAGGCCCCAACATGTGAACTGCTGTGAACCAAAAGGAAGCCCTACGGATATTGGTTAATGTTAATGTACAAATGCTTTTCTTCTATTGCACATGCACTTACCTTGCAAACTAAGTTCATTGAAAAGTCTGCAGTCATCTTGTCAGAAATTTCACAGCTGCCTAATCCAGAGTATATATTTTTAGATACCACTACATGGCACTTCCTAAGGGGCTGTGGACTTTATTAGTAACCTTGAGGCCTAATGTGTACCTAAGTTTGCATTTGCCCCTTCCTGGTGATTACTCAGGGCTGTATAGTATTTCTTTTATTCCTTCTCTTCCCAAATCAAATCCCAACCCACTGTAGTTCTTTGTTCATAGTGTATTAGTGACATCTAATTAACTGTATGTTAATAGCTGTTAATACAGTATCAAACACCGACAGCCATACAGTCAGCGTGATCAGTGAGGAGCACAATATCATTTATTTGCACACACAATGAAGGATGAACACGTTCTGAGGGACTTCTTCCTTCCAGAATATTGTGCATATTTGCTGAACATCAGACCATGTTTTTTAACCTCTCTGATCTAGTCTGTTATATAGATTGAATATATGCACACGTAAGTAAGGAGAACCATCTTTATTATCACTTACCGGTATGCAGAGATATTCACATAACAGGGGTGCATTGTTATATGACTTCTAGTAAAGATCTGTCAGGTTATTTCACAAAGGAATTGTCATCTACACATCCCTTCTTAACCCTACTGGAAAAAAAACCCACTAGTTTTTAAAGCATAAGGAAATGTGGAAGGGAAGAGAGAAGCCTTTCATGAGTGGAGTGTACAGCTGTACATTTAATTTAAGCTAAAGAAGGAAATCTAATTACTTAAATACTTGAAAGCATTCAACAGGTGGTGCTCTACCATACTCTGCTACTCTGAGATTTGCTTTAGGTTTTTGTGTAGAGGAGGTTTAGATTGTTCAAGCATTATTCCATACATTTCACTGAAGAACAGTGTGCAGGGAAACCATTACCACTGTGTACTGGAAAATGTGAACATTACCCTAACTTTTCTCTAAACTGACACTCTTTCAATAGCATTTTGCCCATCAGTATCTGCATGCAAGAGGTGCAGGATGCAAGCTGTTTCGTTTGGTACAGCACACTGCAGAGCAGAGTGGCAAATGGCAGATAACATAAACGATGTAGAGGGACAAACATTCTTGAATTTCGTTTACAATTCTGTTACTAAATAGCTTTAAGCCAATTTTAACTACCAAACAGTGCAGAATGAGTTCTTAGTATTTACAAATGTATTTGTATGTTCACCATGATGGTGAAGGATATCTTCGACAGAATTAAATGTAATGAGATGTGGGCTTCCGAGTCATTTTCTGGCTTCCAAAAGTCCCAGTATACTTTATTATGTTTGGAAAGCATATCTGTGGGTATCTGTGAACTTTCCAGAGCAAATATGTTTTGAGTATTCTTTATTCAGCATCTGGTTGCAATTATTGGCCCTGATTCATAGGGTATGCTTTCTGGTTCCTCACTGGATGTAGTTTTTTATAAACAGAAGATCCTGATCTGCCCTTAGAGAAATTCACCTTTCTTAGGAGAAATTGTATGAGCTAAGCAGGACTAGGTTGTTTATTAGATGAATGCTACTTATCATGATCCAGAACCTTCTCCCAAAGACACAGATACACTAGTTGTCTTAGATCCTTCCTATAGGAAGGCAAATGCAGTGAAGGCATAAATATTGTTGTAATGAGTTTAATAAAAATATTTCAGGCAAATTTTAATTTCCAATCCAAATCACAGTATATTAAAGTAAAATCTTAAGTATTTTGAACTGTCAGGTGTATTTCAGCAGATATGGCATTTGGTATATCATACCAAAACCTGCCATGCAATCCACAGAGTTTCACCAAGTGAATCATGAAACTCAGTGGTAGGTAGCTCTTGTTTCTCACATCATCTTAAAGCTCTCAAAATATTTGCTGATCATTCCAAGTGTTTTGTATCACCATCACTATCTAACTAGACACACACAATTCAATATATATACAAGTACTGTGTGTAAGTGGTTGGAAAGATAAATTCCCATTAACAACATTTTGTAAGTGAACTGTTCAGATCCAAATGTAAACATCCTAAACCCAGGTGGATTTATCCTTCTGTGAAATGTACAAGCAAATTAGCTATAAACTCATATATTGCAGTGTTTGCTTTTTCTGATTTGAGCAGATTTCTGGTGATGGTAGAGATTTATTATTAGCTGCAAATACGCCATACAACCACCTCCCCTAAACCAAAATAAATTAGAGACAGAGGGAAGACTTGATAAGGTTGCAGGGAAGACTTGATAAGGTTGCACAGCAGTAGTTCACATGGAAATAAAGGATGCTGCCTTAAAGGAGGGGTGGGGAGAGAAGCAAACAACAAAAAGACAAAACCCTCAACAGATACTGAATGTAGAGGGAATAAGGATCTGCATGCATTCGTTGTTTTGATCTTGGTATATAATAAGAGTGAATAAAGGGGGAAGAAAATGCTAAACTGTAGGGTTGTAGGTGAGTAGCTGGTGTGGTTGCAGATGTATAAAAGTAAAGAAGAAGAAGCTGAGAAGTTGAAGGAAAAATCTTCAACAGTAGAGCCACAAGCCACAGCTTGTGAGGCTCAGCCGTAGAGCGCGTGGAATTCTGAGTATTGCCTGAGCTTTGTTGATGTATTTGCACTGACTTTCAATTAAATTGAGATCAAGATTTTCTGTATTTCCCTCTCTCTCACTCTAGCTGCTGCTATTCTTGAAGAGGAGAAAAGAATCTTCCTGCATAAGTGACCATCCTTTCTGTACCTTTCTGGATGGTGCTGGTGACTTGTTACATTTTCCTGATTACAGCTCTAGCAGTTTGTTGGTCATTCCTATCACCAAGATTTCACGTGACTCCAGCTGGAACTGAATCAGGCTGTAAATGATATGGTCCATTCTTGGTAGCATGTCCTGTAGTGTTACACTGCTCCTGGACGACTTTTGTGGAGGCAGGATATTGAATTGCTGAGGAATGGAGTAGGTACATGGAGGTAAAACCAGATACATAGACATACCTGCCTCTTGCTTTTTTTCTCTTTTAAAGACATTGTAGAACTTATTCATGGTTTTGTCTTTCCCTTTTCACAACAGTAAATTTGCCTTTTTCCTTTCAAATGGGTTTTGTGTTCTGCTTGTGTTTCTTAGAGCAGTGTAGCCATCCATTAACTTAATGCATGGAAATAAGATATTTTAATATATAAGATAAAATTAAGGAAAATTAAGAGTTTTTGTATTTCTGGAAAATTTCATTTAATGTTTTTACAGCTTTTGCTCAGGATTCATTATTCTGTTGTTTAAGGAGTTTGGTTAGGAGAAGGAGTGCTGTGGACAAACAGAAACCAAATCACCACCAGCTCACCATGTTCTGGCAGCGTCTCATAAACACCTGTCTCTATCTGTGATCTTTCAGGAACACTTAGGAGGTGAAATAAGGCTCACAAGGGAAATCAGGAATGTTTGTTTTTTCCTGGTGAAAATAAATCTTTTTACATTGTTTTAAAGGAAGAAAAAGCTAGAGCTGTGTGTCTAGCTTTGGGTTTCAGTGCTGGAAGGCTTTCTGTTGCCAGTGGGGAGAGAAAGTTCCCTGTGGGTGGTAGTTTAGAGCAGTGATGGCTCAGGAGCAAGTATGTGTGTGAGGTGTCCTGAAAGGTTTATCCTCTCTCCATTAACTTTGTAGAAAGTATGGGCTTCTAACTTATACATCTCAGTTAGGTGGGCTTAGAAAAGTAATGGTCTATTCATTCTCGGCCTCAAAAATCCACTCATTAGATCTGCAAGTGAGTACGAAGTTAAACCTTGCAGGTGCATACGGGTTTCTGTGCTTCTGCAAGCAGTTACTAAGGTGGCACCTGAAATACAAGTGTCAGGATCTATTCCTTGCAGAATAACTTGCTGCTTTCATATTTCTGCAGTGTAGCATATGCATCTTAGTGATGGGGAAGATTTTGGTAGTATTCCTTCCCTTGCTTGTTTCCTCCATATAGAACAGGAATTGTGGTATGAATCTAAGTGTCTAAGAGTCAGCTTGGATTTAGGAAGAATTCAAGAGGTGAATCTTTTTTGTTGTTTTACTCTGCATTTAAGATGTTTGATACATAAAATCTAGCGAAAACAGATCTTTTACAGCAAAATATTCTCCTAGTTAATACAGAAGAGTACCTGTGGCTTGGCTAGATTGTGTTAAGTGTCAGCCATCACATCATGTGCTTCCAGATGGAGTGTCATACATTCCCTTGCTAAACCTTCCCTCTCCTAGCTCTAGTCCTGTCTTAGCTCAAAAGTCCTGTCAAAGTAGGTATCTTTCCTGTATAGGACAATCTGGTTTGCAATGTAAAAACTGTTTTCCAGTGATACACTTAAATTGTTTGCTTTACCGATGTTATTTTTTAATCTAAACTTCCTTCCTATTGAGAGATAGTCCTTCAAAGTATAATAGTACTGAAGGAAAAAGCATAAAGGCCTTTTAAAGTATGACTTAGGATATAAGCCATTTCTCTGCCCAAACTCACCTATACTGTCTTTTTTTAATGTAGTAGCAACATGTTAGTATTTGCTATCACTAGGAGGGAGCACAATTTAATCACAGCTGTGTATTCATTGGCGGATGTAAGTGCAAGTACAGACAGGTATGTGATATGACAGAGGAATGGCTCAACCTGCTCTGGCTGGAGTCACCTGTGAAGCTGTGGGTAAACCGGAGTCACCTCAAGATCATCACGTCTTTTCCATCGCTCTGGTCATGCAGACTTTTCTGTCTCATGTGCACATGTTGTACAGGGTATGAAATGCTTGTTGATGCTCAGCTTTCATGATGAAATGAATCCCATGTTCACCCTCATTGCAGTGTCACTGTGCTGTTTGTGAGATGGAGAGGTGGCTGGTCATGCTCTCTGGTGTCTGTTGCCCTGTTAAATGGGAGCAGAAATCCTGCCTTGCTTCTGTCAGCTCTGCTGGGGAGGGTTCCTGTGCTCCCTGTAAATAAGTTCCTCATTTATGTCACTGCAGTCAAGCTTTTGATTTTTTTTTGTGTGCCCTGCTTCTCTCAACCTGTGTACAGAGTATGCTGTCTAAAACTATGTGCTCTTCCAATGTCCTGCAACTTTGGTCAGGATTACAAGTGTACATCGCCTTGCACTGCAGTGAGAATGCACTTCAGTGCTTTTCACAGGTTCATGAGCTTTTTTACGTACTGCAGAATAGATCTGCTGTGATTCAAGCTGTTTTGTTTTTAAATGAATGCCAGTCTAACAGCTATAAGAATCCATTGCTGATTTCATGATGATTTTGTCATATCTATAATTTAAGAACCAGAAATAATGTAAGTAAAATTAACTTACCTCACTATTTACCAGGTTTTTGTTGGATTGCACTTAAATGACAGTTTTTACTCCTTTTGTTTAGTTCTTTACCTGTATTGAAAACAATGCTAAATTAGTAGAGAATATAACCACGCTGTAACATTGTCATGCAATACCTTTATTAGTAGATAACCACACTAAATATAGTATTACATATTTAAAAGAGAGATGGGTTTAACTCTCCAACTCTTAAGAAGTAGTGGTGATAAGCAGTTATACTCCTAGATGTTTTGTCCCTTCCCTTTTGTATTAGTATTTGTTTTCACTAATATATTTCAAAAATTATATTTCTATGTGCACGTTAGAAAACTGTGAAAATAAATACCAGTAAATATTGTGATACTTATTCAGTGCACTGTAAAGTTCCAAGTGAGATGATATTTTGCTTGGGAATTGATGAAGGTTTCCTCCCTTCTCATAAATGGTACTAAGCTTTAATGTGGCCAATGATAATATTTACAGTGACATGAAATTTGAATGGAGAATGTCTTGTTTTGCACTTCTAGTACTATTAGAAGAAATTATATGTTTTTCTCAGCAAATGCATTATGAGAACACTTTTTATTTGTGCATTGCGGTACATAAGAATAGCTGTTTTGAGGAGATTTGTGTTATATCATTACTACAGGATTCTTTAGTCTGGTAATTTTTTATTGAGCCCATTTAACAATGGTGTTTAATGGCACAAACCTTTTGGAAATATATTTTGGCTTCTGTTTCACATTACAAATCCTGTATTTGGACTCAGTTAATGCAGTCAAAGGTCCTCTCAAGTCTGCTGGGCCTGCCCGTGCTGCTGTGGAAGGGGACATTTCTTGTTCACTGTTGGGACAAGATAAGAGGAGTTGAGAAGAATGTTGGAGGGTGTGTTATGCAACATTTGAAGTGTCAATGATCTTCAAGAGTGAAACAAAAATGAAACT